CAGCTGCCCAGGGCTACGCCCGCCTCATCGAGACCTTGAGCCAGTGGCGGTGAGCAGGGGCAGCAGGGAGGGGGCTGGGCAGCCACTGGGACAGAAGTGCCAGGGGACTGAGGAAGATCTGGACTGGAGCCCTGCCAAGAGGGAGCTGGGGTCACTATGGGAAGGAAAGGGGGCTGGAAAAGGATTTGTTTTGGGAAGAATTTTAATATCCCGAGTTATGACACTGACTTCTTGACCTCTTTACATTTACTATATTAATCTGACTGCTTCATTCCACTGACCATAGTGCTCTTAGACAGCTTTCTTCCCGATCCCTTCAATTCTAATATTTCCACTTTGCCCACTTTTTCCCTGACTGAGCTTTGTTGTCCCTTTACCAAACCCTCCAGGAGTGTGGAGACCGGAAGCTTGGACTTAGAGCAAGAGGTTGACCCGCTCAATGTGGATCATTTCTCTTGCACCCCTCTGGTGAGGATGCGGGACTCCTGAGTGCATGTGGACAAAGGGAAATGGGAAGGGTGCTTTAAAGGGAAGACCTCTTGCAGGAAAGGAGTGGGGAGGACAAGGGACTGAAGACCTGGCCACCAGAAGAAGGCCCCTAGCCTCACCTCTACCTCTATCCTCCTACTCCTCCCATCCTTCTCTCCCTGCCCCTCTTCTCAGATGTGGGCTTGTGCCTTGGGACACCTGGAAGCTGCTGTACTCCTTTTCCGTTGGAACCGACAGGCACTGAGCATTCCTGACTCTCTGGGCCGTCTCCCCCTGTCCGTGGCTCATTCCCGGGGTCATGTGCGCCTTGCCCGCTGCCTTGAGGAACTCCAGAGACAGGAAACTTCAGCTGAGCCCCCAGTTGCCCTGTCGCCACCCTCCTCCAGCCCAGACACTGGTGAGGGTTGCCCCGGATCTTTTTTAAGAGGGGAAGGAGGGTGGGAGGATAGACCAGGAGAAAGCTGAAGGGTGGGCAGGGAGGTTGAGAGCAAGGATGGGGCAGGTAGGCGACTTAAGAGATGGCAGATAGCTCTTGCTGCCCTCACCCTTTTCTGTTACCTCACAGGTCTGAGCAGTGTCTCCTCACCCTCAGAGCTTTCGGATGGCACTTTCTCCGTCACATCAGCCTATTCTAGTGCTCCTGATGGGAGTCCTCCCCCTGCTCCTCTTCCAGCCTCTGAGATTACTATGGAGATGGTCCCAAGCCACCTCTCTTCTAGTGCCCCAGAAGCCCCCCTACTCTTCATGGACTATGAAGCCACCGACCCCAAAGGGCCCCCACCCTCACCTCCTCCTCTCCCACCACTCCTGGATGCTGGGGCTGCTCCTGAGGAAGCTGACAGCCCACCATCTGTGAACATGATCCCGGTACTGCTTATGTTGATGGAATTATGAGGGCTAGAAAGAGTGGGGTACAGGAGTGAGATAAGCCCAACTAGTCCATGAAACAGACTGAGTCTGGCTTCAGTTTGAGAAGGGACTATTTACCCTCATTTTGGGACAGGCAAAATAACCCTTTGCTTAGCTCCTATCAGAGCTTGACTCAGGAGTCATGAAGCATCAGAGGTTAAAAATTCTGGGGAGTGTCTTCAATTAGAGGTGGGTTGTAGGGGTTACCTGTTGAACCATAAAGAGACAGTTTTCTTGGGGAACCATAACAATGGAGGGAAGTTGGGAGGAGTGTGGAGGAGAGAGGTTGGCAAGATGGAGGTATTTGGCAATGACCTTCTGTGAGGAGGAGGCTTGCACGTGGGAAAAACTAAGTCTTGTGGAATGAATAAATGAGAATGAATCTTCAAGTGTAGCAGCATACTTCTCTGCTAGAACCTGGGGACACATCTGCTTTGAAAGGCTAATGGATTAATTAGGTAGCACTATAAGACCTCCGCAAAGTAGGCTGTGTTACATGTGGCCAGCAGAAAGTGCTACAGGCTTCAGGGCTGGAGTAAAGGCAAGGCTGGAGCTATTCATTAGGGTATCTGTGGTCAGTAAGCATTGAGCTGGTTCTTGGAGAACTGAAGGTGGGATGGAGGGTGGCAGGCATGGCCAGGCCTGAGGGTAGGATGTGCTGGTTGCAAGCCTGGGGCCAGCCTGGATGGGATGGTGGGCAGTCAGCCTGGAAGCCTAAATTCTTCATTTGTGCAGCTCTTGTATCTCCATTTGGACTATGTCTTTCCTATCCTATGTCCTCCACAATGTTTCAACACAAGTGGCAGCCTAATAAATATAAAGCAATGAATCTGGAACAGTGGACAAAAAAGATGGGGTTAGAAAGGAAAGCAATCCCTGAGGCTTCATCATCTGGTAGAAGAAATGAAGTGGATTGAGGCTACAGATGCAGCAGGGCAGGAACATCTGGCAGGTGAGGCCCTTCAAGGCTCACCCAGTTTTTCCTTCATCCAGGTGGACATGATCTCACTGGCCAAGCAGATCATCGAAGCCACACCAGAGCGGATTAAACGAGAGGACTTCATGGGGCTGCCTGAGGCCGGAGCCCCAACGCGGGAACGGACGGGGGCCTTGGGCCTCAGCGAGACCATGTCCTGGCTGGCCAGCTACTTAGAGAATGTGGACCAGTTCCCCAGCTCAGCCCCTCCTAGGTGACCAGCTCAGGACAAAGCCTCCAGATTCTTCTTCAAGGGAAGATGGAAGGCAGTTTCCCCATAGCCAAAGGTCTATTCTGGCAGAAGCCAAAGGGCTTTTGAAAAGGGGATTGGAACTGATGAGCTCTGAAGTTACTCTTTCCAGACTCTGTTGACTGGGGTCTCCCTTCACAGCGACCCCTAGGTAGGAGAAGAGAGACTTCAGATACTCTATGACTTGCCTTCTCCCTATTCCTACAGCGAACTACCTTTTGAGCGGGGTCGCCTGGCTATCCCTCCAGCACCTTCCTGGGCAGAGTTTCTCTCTGCATCTGCCAGTGGCAAGATGGAGAGTGATTTTGCTCTGCTGACATTATCGGATCATGAACAGCGAGAACTGTATGAGGCTGCCCGAGTCATCCAGACAGCCTTCAGAAAGTACAAGGTCAGGGGGCTGAGGCGTCTCAGGGAATGAATCTTGAATAAGGGGAGACTATGGGCTCCCAAGGAGAGCAGTCATCCAGACAGGCCTCAGATGGGGTGAAGGGTCAGAGGACTCCAGGCAAGTTGGAAGGACAGGTCACATGTCTGTTAGGTGGGCAGTTAGGCACTAAGACTTCCTTCTCTCCCCTTAGGGCCGGAGGCTCAAGGAGCAGCAGGAGGTAGCAGCAGCTGTGATCCAGCGCTGTTACCGGAAATACAAGCAGGTGAGATCCTTTTCTCTGTAAAGCACACCCACCAACCTGTACCCACCCACATTCCAGCTCACAGCATCCAGAATGCTGCTGGAGCCCTAACTCCCCTTCTCTCTCCACAAGCTGACCTGGATTGCACTTAAGGTATTAGGCATGAGATCTGGGTGTGAGGTCTGTGATTCAGCCTTTCCATGAGCATGTGGATTAGAAAAAGAGACCTGCATCAACTGAATATGGGGGTGACCCTCAGGGGTTTGGGTCACTGTTCCTCCATTTCAGCTCCTGTTCCTTCTCCCCACCCCTGCAGTTTGCACTCTATAAGAAGATGACCCAGGCGGCCATCCTGATCCAGAGCAAGTTCCGAAGCTACTATGAACAGAAGCGATTTCAGCAGAGCCGCCGAGCGGCTGTGCTCATCCAGCAGCACTACCGCTCCTATCGCCGCCGGCCCACGAGCAGCCTGCCTGCCCGCAACAAGTATGGCCCCAGCCCTCCAGCCTTCTGTGCCTGCTCACTGCATCCATGTCCATGGACCCCCAAGTTCCAGCTCATTGTCCTGCCCCCTGCCCTTCCCTGCTAGGGGTCTCTAAGGGGCTGAGGGCAGGGGATGCCTGAGTGTTGTGTAAGGTCTCTTCATCTTTTCTTCTGCCAGAGGCTCCTTTCTCACCAAGAAGCAGGACCAGGCAGCCCGGAAGATCATGAGATTCCTGAGGCGCTGCCGACACAGGTACTCATCCTTTCTCCTGCTGGATTTTGCCCAGCCATCTCCACCACTCCACCTTCCCGGATCTGCTGGTCTCCTCTGACTCCTACCTTATCTCTCTGCAGGATGAGAGAACTAAAGCAGAACCAGGAGCTAGAAGGGCTTCCCCAACCTGGACTGGCCACCTGACCTCTCCATGCCTTTCTCACCACCCGGGCCGCTTCTTGCAGTCTTAAGGGAGAGGGTTCTCTGGGGAAGGGGAGCCCTCTGTCGGCAGCTTTTCCTGTCACTTTGGTTGGAGCCCTTCCTAGGTCTCCATCCTCTACCCCTCCGAAGTGCTGAACTCCTTCTCCCACCTCTCCTCTTCCCCCTGGGTCCTGCCCCCTCTTTTGGTCCCCGGCTCCAGAAGATCCATGCCCCACATACCTGCATCTTCAGCTGTGACCTCCGGAGCCCTGCCTGCCCCTTTTCCACAGCTCTCTTCCCTGCCTGCACCCGCCTCGGCCTTCCTGACTTGCCTTATTTATTTGTTCGATGCGTCTCTGAATGTATCCGCGTGGCCCCACCTCTGCCTTTCATGCGCGCGCACCCCTCATGTTTCTGGGCTAACCGTGCCCCACCCGACTCCGCATGTTTGCGTCTGTTTCCTCCCTTTCTGGCCCTGTCATCCCCCGTCACTCCAACTCTGGCCACCAACCGTGGGGCCAAAGGGGGTGTTGTATATAGGAATGCGTTGTGGAGTCCTGCCCCGCCCCTCGAGGGGAGGGGTCTTGTACATATGTAACATACAGAGTATAGTGAAGAATCTATTTAAGGCGCCGCAGGGAAGGCTGCACGACCGGACTTGTGGTTCCCGAGCGCGGCGGGGGCCTCTTGCCGGCCCCACGAGCACTTTCTACTGTGCATGGGCTTGATTTCTAAGGACTGCCATTAAACATCACTGCACCAGCCAGCCTCCGGCCTCTGTCTGGGGGGGCGGGGACGGGGGGGCGGAGCCTCGGCCGGCGGGAGGCTGTAATCGCGCTGGACGGGATCAGCGCTGGGCAAGGCGGGACGGAGTGCACAGTTTTCCGCCTCCGACGCGTTTCCGGCCTTAAAGGCTTTTCGCCCTTCCCTTTAAGACGCACCGCCCCCTTTCAGTCACTCCCAAGATGGCGGACCTACTGGGCTCCATCCTGAGCTCCATGGAGAAGCCACCCAGCCTCGGTGACCAGGAGACTCGGCGCAAGGCCCGAGGTGAGGAACCCAAATTCACATCCGCCTTTCTTCACTCGGTTTTCAAGACCGCACTCTTCTCTCTTTGAACGATGCCGCCTATTCAACCTTGAGAGACCCCTCAGAGGCCCCTTTAGAGACCCCCAAATTCCCTAAAAGGGCTGTCGACCCGCCCGCTGTTCGTAGCGGACGGTGATTGGCTGGCTCTCTGAAGCCTAGCGCCAGCTTCTTGCCGTTTTCGCTATCCTGGCTTCCGCAGTCCTTGTTTTTCACTCGCCAAAAGGCCCGCCTGTCCGCTGCTGGCGTGCTCTGATTGGTAGGGCGACTCTTACCCCACCCAACTCCTTGGTGTTCTTTGGCCCGCCTTCGGCCCGCAGGAGAGCGTGTTCGGCCGCTCGGCCCCTCCCACCTCCTGGCTGGTGTGTCCCACAACCCATCCCAATTCTGATTCGGTCCAATGCACGCCCATCCGCAATCCTTTCCCCTCTATTGGCTACGTCAACCAAAAGGTCTACCTATTAAGTCCTGTTAGACTTCCTCTGGTCCTTCCCACCTCTGCACCTCTAATTGGTTGCTGGCTCCGTTTAGTGCCTTTCTGCCCCTCCTATTTGATTTAACCCGGTCCCTTCCGCCTCCTCTATGGTCAACCCTTTTCTTCTCTGTATTTTTAAATTCCCGAGCTGCCCCGGGCGGGTCGTGATGTTGATTGCAGAGATGAGAACGCTCCTACCTGGTTCGATTGGCTACAGTCTCCCCGCCTGTGTTCTTTGAGTAACTCCACTGCCTGCGGGCTCTAGTTCGCCTGCGGGGGTAGGGTGTAGGGCGCGGCCGCCAGGTGGTGCAGGCTTCTTCCAAGTTGCTCGGCTTGTAGCGTGTGAATGAGTGACAACCAAGGGAGGTCCTCTAACCCTGCGGACCTTGACCATGGACAAGCCCCATCTTGGGCAACGGCTCCTTACCCGCCCGAGGGGTACCAGGGCAGGCTAGATGCCTTCAAAGTACTCATCAAGTGCTGCGTAATATCGAAATATACATTATCTACAGAACGGTTGCTAGGGGCCAGGGAGCCCACACTGTAGAGCATTGATGAAACGATCACACAGAATTTTAATACCCAACTTGATAATGCTCAGAAAAATAATTGTTATGCGAGGGTTACCTAGGGGTCCTAACCTAGTCTGCAGGGAGCTGAGATCTGAAGAATAGATAATTCAGTAAGTGAGAGGGGGAGTAAGTGTTATAGGCAGAGATGTGCATTTGAAAGCTCTGAGGAAGGAAGGAGCATGGCAGTTGGAATTATTTCATGCTCACCATGATCGTCTAGGTAGGGTTCACCAGCGGCAGTTGACAGACTAGGAAGCTGAAGTTCAGAGTTTAGTCACTTGCCTAAAGTCACATGGTTGCAGAGTCTTAAATCCAGGTGTAACTTTTAAGCCTGTGTTCTTAACCATAATCTTATGCCAACCACCTCCTCAGATAGAAGACACACAAACCAGTTAGAGAATCAGTGGCTACGATGGGATGCAGTGATGGTCATAGTCCTCGAGGTCAGAGGTGAGAGCTCCTAAATTGTCCGGCTCTAGGGCCACAGAGGTTACCTAGATAGGAGATAAACAGGGTCCTTGCCTCCTAAGAGCTCATAGTCTGGTAGGGGAAACAAATAAGTTACATTGCGTTAGTTCTCAGCACATGCTATAGTGGATGTCTGCACCAAATGTGCATGGACCTCAGAGGAAGAAGTGAGTAACTCTGACTCATGGTGTATCTCAAAGTTTGTGAGAGGAGGAAAAGCATTTCAAGCAGAAGGAACATCATGTGCAAAGGCATGGAGTGATTAGGAAAACAGGAAGAGGTGCAGCTGGAGGGATTAGATCCTATAGAAGAAGTGGGCGGGCCTTAAGAATATAAAGGATTTGAAATGGCAGAAGAGAGGAGAGGAGACATTAAGACCCAAGGGTGAGGAGTTCCTTTGCTGTTCACTTTGAATATCTACACTCCCAAAGGAGAAGGGTGTCAGATTAGATGTTTCAGCTTCATCTTGTCTATAGAAGTGAGAAGTGGAGGGTGTTATAAAATATAGGAAGTTAAATAATTTCCCCTTTCCTATGTCGACAATGAGATGATAAACTCTTTGAGGCCAGGGCTTAGTCTGGTCTTCTTACGTTCCCAGGTGCCTTATATTTCTTTATATATCGTGATCATTAAGTAAATGTTGGTTAGCTGGTTTCCCTAGTGAGGTTGGGAAAGGAGGTTAAACATGATTTTAATCTTTGCTACTCTCACCAAGTCATGAGCTCTTGAAGGGCAAAGCTATGTCTGAATCATCTTTGTATTCCAGGGCCTAGCACAGTGCCAGGTGTAGAGTAAATATTGATAAATGCTTAGTGAATAAACAGTAATCCTACTTTCCCAGCCTGATGCCTCCCAGTGGACACCAGACCTCCTTTGAAGTCTTATAAACTCTCCCCACCCATGCTTCCACCTCTGGCCTCATGCTGCCATTTCTCACCCTCAGAGCAGGCTGCCCGCCTGAAGAAACTACAGGAACAAGAGAAACAACAGAAAGTGGAGTTTCGTAAAAGGGTGAGAACAACTGGAGAGATCAAAGGCAGCCTCAGGAAGCACTTCCAATAAGTTAGAATTAGAACTCAATTTTTGCAAAATGTGTCAAGAGAGTTGAAGCCTGGAAGCCAATGGCATAGAGGCTGGGAAAGGTGTGGGGAGGCAAAGGCCAGTTGGCCCAGCTGGGGAGAGGGATATTAAGGCAGAGCCATCATCTCATATCTTCTTCCCATCCCCTCCCCCAAGATGGAGAAAGAGGTGTCAGATTTCATCCAGGACAGTGGGCAGATCAAGAAAAAGTTTCAGCCCATGAACAAGATAGAGAGGAGCATACTGTGAGTATCTTGGGCTGGGAGAGGCAGGAAATGGGTGGTCAGGGTGGCATGAAAGGGCAAGTGGGGGAATCCACAAGAGGAGGGTGCTAGGCTCCCTCGTGGCTCAACATATTCTTTCCCCTCCGCCCTCCCTTCCTAGACATGATGTGGTAGAAGTGGCTGGCCTGACATCCTTCTCCTTCGGGGAGGACGATGAGTGTCGCTATGTCATGATCTTCAAGAAGGTGAAAGGCCTGAGTTCTCCACTCTCACCTTTTCAGCCTGTACCCCCTTGGGGGAGAGAAATGAGAAGAAACACCTTTCCCCCAACATCCCTTCTTCCCTAGGAGTTTGCACCCTCAGATGAAGAGCTGGACTCCTACCGTCGTGGTGAAGAGTGGGACCCCCAGAAGGCTGAGGAGAAACGGAAGCTGAAGGTGAGTTAGTGCCTGGCAGTCTCGGGAACCCTGCAGCCCACCACCTCGGAGGGGTTGAGGTCAGGCCTGTGAGCACTGGTACCCAACCTTTGCACCCCTAGGAGCTGGCCCAGCGGCAGGAGGAAGAGGCAGCTCACCAGGGACCCGTGGTGGTGAGCCCCGCTAGCGACTACAAGGACAAGTATAGCCACCTCATCGGCAAGGGGGCAGCCAAGGATGCAGCCCATATGCTACAGGCCAACAAGACCTACGGCTGTGGTGAGGCCACAGTGGGGGATGGAGGGGCAGGGAAGAGGAGCACTGAATGGGGGCAGAGGAGGGGAGGCTAAGGCACAGGGATCCCTCCCCACCCTTCCCTCTGCCCCCAGTGCCTGTGGCCAACAAGAGGGACACACGCTCCATTGAAGAGGCCATGAATGAGATCCGAGCCAAGAAGCGTCTGCGGCAGAGCGGGGAAGAGTTGCCACCTACCTCTTAGGCACTCTAGCTCCCTGGGGCAGGGCAAGGGGCAGGGAGGGACAAGGCTGCTATTAGAACCCATCCTGGAGCCCCACCTCTGAACCACCTCCTAACAGCCATTATGCAGGCTGGAGAAAGCAGGTGTTCAATTTGTCACTGTTAGAGCTTGGATATGTAATGTGGTGTGTGTATGTGTGTGTATAAGTGAGTGTGAATGCACAGGTGGGTATTTAATCTGTATTATTCTCTGTTCTCCTTGGAACTTTCTTCCCTGTGGGACTGGGGTTACTTTACATTCAATAAACATTGTTTGACCCAATGTCTTGGTTTGTTTGAACAGGGAAAGGTGGGTCCTGGAGAGGAAGAGAGATGATTTTCACTTGAGCAGTATAAAAATTGTTGTTTTTGTAGGCCATAGATGGCTGGATTAAGAGCACAATCGCTAGAGCCAAATGGTCTAGGTTTGGATCCTGGCTCTGTCAGTTACTAACTCTGTTTCCTTGGGCGAGGTATTTGACTTTCTTTTCTTTTCTTTTTTTTTTTTTTTTTTACAGTAGAAAAAAGTTTTATTAGGAAAGTACACTTCCAGAAGTAGAAGCGGGCCTGAGCACTGAGCAAGAGAAGCATGGCTCAAAAGGCCCATATTTGACTTTTTTGTGCCTCAGTTTCCTCACCCGTAAAATGGGGATAATAATAACTATCTGATAAGACTGTTTCATAGATTGTACGGGTCAATATAGGTCACATATTTAGAGCAGTTCTAGATCTTCAAGCTCCACAGAAATGGTAGCTGCCCTGGTTTTCACTCTCATCCTCCACACTGCAGCGCACTCTGAAGACCATGTACTTCAACTTATTGGCAGGTCTGATCCAACTTCCCCCTCATGGTAATGTCTGACCCTAAGTACCGCCTTCTTTAGGAGCTGGTTCCATGTTCTGTCCGTGCCTCCAGCTTCATTTCACATGTGGCACCTGCTTCCCCCAGCATCCATCCAAACTGAAGTTTTCTTGTTCTGGATCCAGCTTAACTTCCTCTCTGACCAGCCCTTCACTTCCTCTTTGTCCCAGCAGGTTATATATCTGTTCTCCCTTTTCTGCCCTACCTCCTGTCTTACCCAGCCCAGACACCAGCATCTCCCTCTCAAAAAGGAGCATCCCACTGTCTTGGTTGGCATCAGTGTTTATTTCAGAGAGAATGGCTTGGCTTGAAGGCTTAGATCTGTCCTCTGGGGTCCTGAGGCCTCCAGCTTCTCACTTGGCCTTTGGGTTACGGAACTTGCGACCAGCAAAGACAGCCTTGTCCCCGAGCGCCTCCTCAATCCTAGAAGGCAGACCAAGTCAGAGCTGTGCCTTTCCAAACCAACAGCTGTCCGTTTCCCATGCCCAGGCCTACTGTACCCCCTGTACCTACCTCATGAGCTGGTTGTATTTGGCCAGGCGCTCTGAGCGGCAAGGGGCGCCAGTCTTGATCTGAGAAGGGAAGAGGGATTCCAAAGTTTGCATGAGGATGGAGAGGAGGGATTGGGTCTGGCCCTGAGGGAACAGCCTATGGTGGGATTCGACTCAGGGGCAAGGGGTCAGGGACCCCAAGAAAACTTGCTCTGACACTCGGCAGGAGAGCCATAAGTACCTGTCCTGTGCAGAGTCCCACCACGAGGTCAGCGATAAATGTATCCTCAGTCTCCCCAGAGCGGTGGCTCACCATCACTCCCCAGCCGTTAGACTGAGCCAGTTTGCAACTGAGTAGAAAGGACACTTGATAAGGCCTAATGAGACTACCTCAGTGGGAAAGCCAGGGCCTGGGTAGGGCTTTTCTGTTTTTAGGAGTTGGTGCTTTACGGGAAGGTGGTTGACTAAGTTCTTTGGGAAAGAAAGAAAGGGAGGGTCCTGATCTTGAACTCGGGCTCCTGAGGTGCTGGTTGGAAGAAGGGCAGTATCTGGGAGAGAAGAATGGTATGGGGTGGGGGTGGGGATGGCAGGTCACAATGGCAAAGCTCTTCGGGTCATGCCAGGGGTTAGTCAAAGCCTTGAGATCAGGAGGGTAGGGATGGGTCAGGAGCCAGGGGAAAGGCAGACCTGGAGTTTCTGGGCAGGACACCTGGAGTGGGCAGAATGGGTGGAGGGAGGCTATGGTGCACCCCAGAGCCAGGAAGCACTCACGCCTGGATGGATTCGGTCACTGAGCCGATCTGGTTGACTTTCAGCAGCAGGCAGTTGCAGGCCTTCTTCTCGACAGCCTGGGCAATTCTCTTGGGGTTGGTGACTGTGAGGTCATCCCCCACAATCTGGATGTCCACCCCCGAGAGGAATGAGGTCCAAGTGGCCCAGTCATCCTGGTCAAAGGGGTCCTCGATGGAGACCACTGATAGGGAGTGGGGGCAGAGTCACATTAAAGGTCTGAGAGCCTTACAAAGGGGCGACAGGTCAGAATTTGGATGGGGATTGTGATGGTGCTAAGGATTGGAAGGACCAAGTTGGTGGCAGTGGAGACTCTGAAGTCATTGTGTTGGGCAGCTGCTGGGTACTTGGGCAGGTGCACTGGAACACCTGAGGGTCTCACCAGGATAATTCTTAATGAAGCTCTTATATAGCTCCCCCAGTTTCTCCCCAGTGATGTGCCGTGCAGGGTCATCAGGTGACTTGAAGTCAAGATCGTACTTCCCACTGCGATAGAACTCAGACGCTGCCACATCCATGCCAATCACCACCTTGTCTGGGTAGCCAGCTGCCTGGATGGCCGTCTTTAGCAGCTCCAGGGCTAGGGGAGGGACAAGAGAAGACCTGAGGCTCCAGTGTACCTTGTCTCCACAGCCCCTTCCTCTGTGAGGATCCAGGGGTTCTGCCCCTCAGAGTGCTCACACTGACCCTCATTGTTCTCCAAGATGTTGGGTGCAAAGCCGCCCTCGTCACCCACATTGGTGGCATCCTTCCCATACTTGGCCTTGATGACCCCCTTGAGGTGGTGGTAGACCTCCGCGCCAATGCGCATGGCTTCCTTGAAGGAGCTGGCTCCCACAGGCAGAATCATGAACTCCTGCATGGCCAGCTTGTTTCCAGCATGGGAGCCCCCATTGATCACATTGAAGGCCTGAGAGGCAGAGAGGATGTTCAGACCTGGGCCAGGGTGTGAGGGATCAAGACAGGTTGGGGGGGTGGTGGCGTCGATGTAGAATCCTGGCTTCCCTACTTACTAGCTGAATGATCTAGGATGAGTAATTTACTCCTCAGAGCCTCTTTCCTCATTTCTATAATGGGGACACCACCTGCTTCCCTGAAGGATCTTATGCTGAAAATTAGAGAAATTGGATGTAAAGTTCTTAGCATATGCCTGGTACAAATGATCTAAAACTGATATGGCACTTACTATAGGCCAGGCACTGCTCTAAGTATTTTACATATATCCTGTTAGCTCATTTCATTCTCAAAACGACTCTGAACTAGGTACTATTATTATCCCCCACTCTACAAGTGAGGAAACAGAGGCACAGAGAAGTTAAATAATGCCTAAGACCACACTACTAGCAATTGGCAAAACCAGGATTTGAACCCAACAGTTTGTCTCCACAGCACAGGCTCTTATACAATCTGCCTACTAAGTAACAATAAATGGTAACATTATTATTGAGATTAAATTCAAAGGGTTTCCATAAAGAGAGAATTTGATTTAATAAAAATTAAGATACAAAGAAATGAAAAAAAAAAGATACAAAGAAATGCTAAGATTCTTGCCAAGAAGAAACTCTCAATCTGATCTGGAGGTTGAGGTAGAGAGCAGAATAAGAAGCTGGAGTTATTGAGCCTAGGATTGGAATGTGAAGGAACCAGTTAAAGGTCATGTCAAGGGGAAAGAAACATAGAGGCTTAAGGGGATGTTCGCATTGTGTGAAAAAGGGAGAGGCGGGACCGGGGACGCAGCAGGAGAGGTTCAATTTCAGAAAACTATCTCTTTGAAGCTGGCTCTAGAAGGCGTACCTTCCAGAGGCTGCTTATGTACTTCTCAATGGGTGGGGCAACTCTCTCACTGTGGGATCTAAGGGGGCACCTGCACTCACAGGGACTGGGAGGACCAGATCCGGGTTCCCAGCGAGATCTGCAATGTGTCGGTAGAGTGGGACCCCCTTCTCAGCTGCTCCAGCCTTGCACACGGCCAGGGACACGCCCAGGATGGCATTGGCCCCAAACTTGGCTGGAGAAAGCAAGCACAAAAAAAAAGGTGAGAGTTTCTCCCCCAGAGTTTAGAGTCATCTCCTTAAATGTTCCTTCTGGTCACCCCAGGAAGAATCCAGAACTCCAAACCACTGGGCATTAAGAGTTTGTTTAACAGCTTTCTCCCCAGTGGCCTGAGGTGCTCTGGGACCCTCCACCCCAGGGTCTGTGTCCACAGTCCAGCCCAGACCTGGCAGAAGGCAGGCATCAGGAAATGCCTGTGGAATGAATAAAGTCCATCCAGCTATGGTGTGCCCCAAAATATGGGGGATAGAAATAATCCTAACCAGACCTCAGCCCCATGGTCTTTCCCCTACCCGTCCCACATCTCATCCCTTTCTCTAACCCTAGCCCTTCACTCACATTTATTCTCGGTCCCATCCAGCTCAATCATAAATTTGTCAACTTTTTCTTGATCCACAACACTTAGTTTCTGGAAGGGCAGGTTGGAGGAGGAAGAGCAGATGTCAGATTTCTCAAGAGTCAGGGCATGTGCCAGAGGAAGGTGAAGTGCAAGTATTTGGGGGAGAATGAGAGTTGTAGTTTAAGGTGAGGTGGCAAGGGTCTGGGGAAGGAGTTAAAGGGAACAGTCTCCTTCAACTTGCCTTTTCCAGCAGAGCAGGGCCTAGAGTCTTGTTGATATGTTCTACAGCCTTCAGGACCCCTAGAGAGGCCAGAGGAGGTTCAGATCTCCAATTCAGTTGGGTCTCTTCCTGTGGATCCCAGCTCCTCAAGAGCTTTGGGTTTTAGTCCTCTACCCCAGGCAGACATTGTGTGCCCAAGTCCTAAAACCACCCCAACAAAGGCTCCTCCAGTGTCGGTTATTCCTCACCTTTGCCCAGGTAACGAGATTTGTCTCCATCTCTTAGTTCCAGAGCTTCATAGATACCTGTGGAAGCTCCACTGGGCACAGCTGCTCGGAATCGGCCTGGGGCAGGAGGATTGGAAGGTCACAGAGAGTCCCATCCACCCCCAAAGGGTCACGGTATCCTGAGACTAGGGGCAGGAGGGAGTGCAGACAGGCTCCTACTTTTCACCACAGGGGGACCAGGTTAGGAGAGGAAGGCCTGGGAAGAACTCTGGGGAAGGGGATCGCAGAGAAAGGTGAGGATGTGGGACAAAGGCTAGACGGGGTTAGGGTTTTCCAAGGCAAATCAATTCAGTGGGCCTGTGTTACCCTTGGCCGTGTACAAGTCCACCTCCACGGTGGGGTTGCCCCTGGAGTCCAGGATTTCCCGCGCAAAGATTTTCTGCATGGCCATGGCTGCAGGACAAAGAGGCCTGAGTGTGGACAGTTGATTCCTTAAAGGAACCCCAAATCCCTTGCCCTTTAAGAGTCTTCCCCACCCCAAGAAGGCAGGTGCTGGAGCTAAAAATATCCCACAAAAAGGTCACAGACTAAAAAGGCAGGCACAGCCCCCTCCCCCCCTCAGAACAGCTCCTATTCCACCCCCATCCTAAGAATCCAGGGGCCTCCCTGTAACTCCTGGAATTCCACCACTCTCTGAAACCCATCTCCGGCAAAGTTGTATCTTTGCCTTCTCCCTCCACCCTTCTAGTCAAGCAATCTGTTCTTCATGATTTCCTAGCCCTCAAATCCTCTCCTGTTTTTCTGATTGTCTTTTGCCTGCTCCTCAGCCTTCTTCAGATCCTCAGGGGCCCCAGATTCTCCACCTGGCTCCAGCTCTAGCTCCACTTCTCTATCCATCTCTGCCTGCCTCCCTTTTCAGCCTCATTTCACTATCCTTGGGTATTCCCATCCTGCTTGCTCAAACCCCTCCGGTCTTTCTTAAGCACCCCCAGTACCAGGAGGGAAAAAACCCTGACATTTCCCCATTTTCTCCAAGCCAGCACCACCCTCATCCCCCTTTATCACTCCTATCCCCTGGGATTTCAAGGTTCACCAGACCTGGGATGTCTTCGCTGGGGGCTTGGGGTGAGCTCCGAATCTAAGTGGCAGCTGGGACAGTGTCAGCTCACCCCCTCTCAGGCTGGGCATTTATCCTCAGCCAGCCCCGCCTCTCTCCCTTTCCATCCTCCCCCTCCACACCCAGTTGGCAGCCAACTGTCCACTATAGCCTAAAGCCCCCGTCCCAAAGGTCAATGACCACCCCTCCTTTCTCTCTGCCCCCAATAAAAGTCCCTACTTTCAATTCCACCCTAGGGGAAAGGCTTCAGAATAGGGGGGGTCTCTCCCCTCCCCAGGATTATATTCCTCTTTTGCAAAGGTTAAAGAGGAACTAGTGCTATTTAGGAAAGGTCAGGGGTAACCTGAGCTGTGCAGGGCTGGGGAGGGGGCATGAAAGAGGGGCTGCAGGATTGACATCCACACATGCTCAGCTCACGTGGCAGGCAGGGGCTGCCTCTGCTCTCAGTGGGGGAAGGAGCCGGGGATTATGGGCAAGCTCTGAAGTGTAAAATTGAATCCCACATTCAGAAGGCGACAGGGTCTCACCTCTTAGAGTCCTCATAGCGGCCTTTCCCGGCTCCACCACATCCTACCTTCTCCCTGCCCAAAAGAGGTGTGTGGTAGGGGAGGGGGCAGGGAAACGAATTTAGACTGGCCCTCAGAGTTGGCACGGCTCCCTACAGATAGAGCTAAGACAGCACTTATCGCCCAGCGTAGAGGCTGTCAATCAGGAGCCCCTATCCCCACCGACTGCGGGCGCTTCAGGGCGCGGTACCAGCCCATAAATGAATGATGTTGAATCAGCAGTGAAAAAAATGAATGGATAGGAGGAGGGGGCTGGCCTTTTGTGTCAGAATGCCCGGGGCCAGTCCCGCGGTCCGCTAGTAGCATTGCAGGGACGTGGGTCTCTGCAATAGGTAACTCTGCCTTGGTGGGTCTGAAGGGAGTGTGGGGTCTGCCCGAATTCTGCTGCAGCCCGGCCAGGAGAGGGGAGCACGCCTAGGCGCGGGCCAGCCGGCCGGCGGGTGAGAGTCACAGGGAGCCTCAGCTCTTCGCCCCCGACTAGGAGGCACCTGCGGCCGGCGTTGGAGCGGCCTGCGCCCGGTGACTCACCCCTGTGGCCCTCTCCCCAGCTCCCCTCCCCGCCCTGCCGTCCCCACGAAGTCTTCCAGCCCCCAGCCCAGGATTCTTCCCCCTATTTCGCCCCTCCTCCCCTTATCTCTGGCCTCTACCCCCTGGGATTTTTCCACCCTGGGGTAGGGGGTGCGGTAGGCCAGAGGTCAGAAGAAAGCGGGCGGGGAGCGCCGCCACGTGCCCGCATGAGGCCCCGCCCGAGTGGACCAGTGACTCAGCCTGGCGGCTGTCGAGGAACACGGGCTCAGGGGGCGTTGGGTGCCTAAAGAGTGTGGAGTGGCCGTGAGGGAACCACATCCCGCTCGGGAGGAAGAGAGAGCGGGAGAGAGAGGGAGACACAGAGAGATAACGAGCCCCTTTCCGCCCGGGAGACACCGGTCCCCGGAGGGACGGGAAGCTGCCCAGCCCCTTGGCGGCCGGGGCCGCTAGGGCGCGGCCAGCTCACCTAAGCTTCCGCCAGGTCCTGCCCCACCCCCCTCCCTGTAGGCGGCGGGCGATTTAAGGGCATACAAGTTCTTCGCATAAGTTTTACTAAAAAAGAAAAAAACCCAACAGTTCCAAAGCAGAAAGGACTTTCCCCATTTTGAAAAAGTTGCAATCTTGAAACTTTAGTATTCTTCCGCCTTAAAAAATAGGCCCGCCCTTCTAGCCCGCGGGCGCCCGCTCTCAGTGACCTCTTCAGAGACGCGCCAAGGGGCAAGGCCGATGACCCAAACTGCTGGCTGGGGAACGGGCGGGGTAGGGACGTGGGGGTGAGGCCTGGGGCTGGAGCTGATCCAGCTAGGGATAATCCCCTGGAGTGGGGGTGGGCTCCACTGAATCCAACTTGTGCCGCCCGGGCCGATGCTGGCGACAGAAGTGTCCCCATTGGATGCCTTCAATTCTGATTCCAGTCGGCGTATTTTGTCAAATTCCTCTGTGCTCCCTTCTTGCTTAAATAAAACGAGGAGTGGAGAAGCGGCGCACGCCTTGCTCTCGCCCCCGCCCCTTCCGCCCGGCAGGAGACACGTCCCCGGCCGCCTTCCTTCGCAGGGGTTCCAAATCGGTCCAGCCAGCCGCGCCCCGGCGCGCACCCGCAAAGCCTGCCGCCGGCTCCAACCGCCCCACGCGCTCTCCCTCCTGGCCCCAGCGCAGGCGCGGGCGCACGCGCCGCCGCCCGCCGTTCCTTCCCTCCGGCAGAGGTGGGGGAAGGGGGAGTCGTTCCGTTTAACCCTGAGTTCCCCGAATCCTCTTTAATTTGCTAAATTTGCAGCTTGCCAATTCTTACTCCTTTCACTGTCCTTCCTTCCGCCGGCTCACTCCTTCCTCTATACCAAAAGTGTGGTTTCTATTCAGTGCGAAGCAGAGCAAGTCTAACCCTAACCTTCCCCAGCCCACCTCCTTCATTCTTTCACATTGCTTTCCATTGAACTCTGCAAATTCTGCAATAAGGGGAGGGATTTTTTAAATTGCATTTGCAAAGTTAGGTATCTGAGCAGCGGGGGGAGGATAAGGAGGGAATGGGGAGCAGGCCCCGCCCCTACCTCCCTTTGCAAATAAAAATCTAGAAGGGGGGGAGGAGCAGGAAGTGGCGGTGCGAGGGCTGCTGCACAGCTAGCAGAGCCACGGTCCGGACGGCAGCGCGTGCCCCAAGCTCTCCGCCTCCCCCCGCCCGCCAGCCCGAGCCCAGCCCGCAGCCCCAGCAGCAGCGCCGAGAGCAGCCCCAGTAGCAGCGCCATGGCCGGGTGGAACGCCTACATCGACAACCTCATGGCGGACGGGACCTGTCAGGACGCGGCCATCGTGGGCTATAAGGACTCGCCCTCCGTCTGGGCCGCCGTTCCCGGGAAAACCTTCGTCAACATCACGGTACTGTGAGGCCTGCGTGGTCCGGGGGTCCGGCCAGGCTTGGACTCAGAGGCTGAGACTTGGGTGGGGGCGGGCGCGGTCTAGGGAGGACAGTGAAAGGCTGTGCGTGACCCGGTCTTTGCCCTGGAAGTAGCGCGAACGGCGGCTGCACGTGGGCAGATCTCTCAGTTGCCCCCTAATTCCTACGCCCCAGGCGGTGGCTCCCATCCCGCCCTCCGCCCCGCTTTCCGCGACGGGGCGTTACATCCGGGGCACAGGGCGGGGAGGGGTGCGCTGCCCGGTGCGGCGGCCCACTTCCGCCTCATCCAGGGCGGGGCGGGCACGCGCTGTAGTTTCTACCAAGGATTGTGACTGAGAAGGGACTTGAGGATCCCTGGACCCCCCAACTCTACTTCCGGCCTCCAGCTCGTGTCCCTTCCACCATTGTTCCTCCCTATGCGGGAGGGAGCCAAGTCGCGTGGTTTGGGTCTCATACCGGTCCTCTCTGAGCTCCCCGCCCCTCCCAACTCCGTTAGAGAGGGCGAGGTCCTCTCGCCCCCCCCCCCAAAGTGGGTACGGTAGACTCAACATTCCTGTGAGACCAATCCCGGAAGTCTTCTCGCCCTCCCTTCGCGCCATCCTGCGGGGCCTGAAGCCGGGGAACTTTGTGAGAAGTTCTAGGATAGTATAAGTGAAGGAATAAGGAATGACTACTGCTGTCTCCATCACCACCACTCGTGTCCACACTGCCCGGAAGTGGGGAGGGGAGCGGAAGTTCAAAAGGGGGGAAGGGGATTTCCGGGCGGGAGGGGGCCGGATGTGGGGATTTGGGGTGTAAGGGGGAGGAGAAAGATTCCCTGGGGTACCTAGACTCGAGAGCTAGCGTGCCCAATCTATCTCCGGGCCCCCTTCTAAAGTTTTCCAACTTTCCCCGAAAACCCCCAGGAATCTACTTCCTTATCTTGGGGTATAGATACCTGAATCTAAACTTTGGGTTACTTGGAGACCCAGGCGTCCGGGCCCCTAACAACTCCTTCAGAACCTTTGACCAAATAAGGGCAAAGTTGCTTCTCCTGCTTTGCCCGCCCCCTCCCTTCCCCTCTTCGCTTCTGCTTTTCCTGAAGGAGAGTTATGAGCATCCAAAGACTCCCTATTCTACTCCACTCCGCATTAGCTTTTGGCGCTCTTTATTTCCTGTGTTTGCCGTCCCTCTTAAACGAGATCTAAGTCTCCAGAAGAATATGTCGTCCTTTTCTGTTGTCATTCTCTGGATTTGAGGATCCTGATCTTTTTGTGCACAAACTTGCAACAGTCCTGAATTTCTCAAATTTCATGGATGTGTCCAAAGCACATAACACACACACCTTTCTTCCCCAGGGCGGTTTCTAGCTCCCCTGATAAGTGGAAAGCAGGTGGGTCCTTGCAGAAGATGGGAACCATGGTGTACTAACTTGATGAGTGCTTGGTTCCCCTTCCAGCCAGCTGAGGTTGGTGTCTTGGTTGGCAAAGACCGGTCAAGTTTTTTCGTGAATGGGCTGACACTTGGGGGCCAGAAATGTTCTGTGATTCGGGACTCACTGCTGCAGGATGGGGAATTTACCATGGATCTTCGTACCAAGAGCACCGGCGGAGCCCCCACCTTCAATATCACTGTCACCATGACTGCCAAGAGTGAGTTTCTGAGTCGTACCCTTTTTCTAGCTTCAAGATCCCTAATGTAGCTCCTTTTGTCAGTCTTTTGGGTTCTTCTCTGTGTGGTTCCCCAGTATGAAGGATTGGACCAGCTTTCTACTCTTGGGACGTTGGTACTCCCTCCAGTCTGTCTCAGTTCCTCATCTTGGAATATAAAGTTGAATTGAATTACTTGTTAGGTTCCTTCCTCCCTCGAGCCTTTTCAGATGAGAAATTTCATTATCTGGGAAGAGGTAGACTGTTGGTTATAAGCCAGCACTTAGCTCTCATGTTTGAGTCCTTTTGTTAAAACTTGGAGGTGGTGGGCTCATACACAGCCATTTTTAACCTGAACATGAGTCAACCATATGAGCCTTTGACCCTTAAGTTTTAGTGTGTTCCCTTCCAGTCTTCAAGCTTGATTTTCCCCTTTTGAAAAGCCCTATTGTTTCAGGGTGACTGACAGCCTGCCTGTGTGTGTTGGGAGGGGGTTGGGAGAGATGAGGTTGGGTTACAGACCCCAGGGCTGGACAGCTGCTGAACAGCTGGCAGGGGGTGGAATTGTGACACCTGGGTCCTAGCCTCCTCTCTCTTTCCTCCAGCGCTAGTCCTGCTGATGGGCAAAGAAGGTGTCCACGGCGGTATGATCAACAAGAAATGTTATGAAATGGCCTCTCACCTGCGGCGTTCCCAGTACTGACCTCGTCTTTCCCTTCCCCCTACCACTCCACACTGCTTTTGCACCCCTCTCCTTCCTATACACACACATATACCATTTTTATTTTTTGGGCCATTACCCCACACCCCTCATTGCTGCCAAAACCACATGGGCTGGGGGCCAGGGCTGGACGTATAGACCTCCCCCTACCCATACCCCTCCTGTGTGTGGTTGGAAATTTTTTTTCTGAATAAAAAAGATTCTACTAACAAGGTGCTGTGTGGTTTTAGCCTGGGTGTGAGGATAGACAGCAGTTACTGGGACTTGTCTCCTTTATCCTATTGGGGATAGGAGAGCAGGAGGGGTTGAAATACTACAAAGTCTAGAAATCTGAGCGTGCCTCCATGTCCAGGACTATAAGCACCTGCCTCAAGCCTACCTGGCCAGGTGGCCCAGCCTTTCACAGTGGCATTTTCATTTCTAGGTCCTCAGTTTGCTAGTTCATTTGGTAGATGATGGAATAGTCATCCAGACCAGAGAATGGGTCCAGGCCTGCAGGCAAGGCAGGGCCAGTTGAGTCATCCTCCTGTGGGTGGGGCTCCCCCTCTCTGAGTCACAACAAATGCCTGCTAGGACTGTCCCTGTGACTATAGGTTAGTCTTTCCCAGCACTCCCCTGCCCCTTTATGGCAAAAAAAGGGGCAATTCCCCAAATGGGTAAGAGGTTCACCTGTGTGAGAATGATCTCTCCCTTCCTTAGTTGACAAAAACAACTTTATTAACCCAATAGACCCAGTCCCTTTGTACTCCCAACCCCCTCAAAAGGATGGGGTTGGGTAAGGGAGAAACCTAGGGCGGAATGCCCCCTACCCCTCAACAGAAGACTAGAGGGAGAAAGGGGCTGTGCAAAATAGGTCATCACAGGTGGGGAGTGACAAAAGGGTATTAGATCAGGATGGCAGCTGAGGAGGAAGGGGAGGGTGAGGGATCTGCTGAAGACCCAGGGAAAATAAGGGGGGCTGGGGCTAGGGAGCCAAAAGAAGTGGGACCTCTGGGGCTGGAGCCCAGAAGTGGAGTCTGCTCTGAGGCAGGATGGTCCCTTGGTTCCTCTTCCTCATCACCATCTTGTCCTGGAGTTTCTTCCTGCTCCTCATCCCCAGGTCCTCGATGGACAGGCTGCTTGCAGATGGGGCAAGTCTTCCGGGTCTGAGTGAGCCAGGGGTCCACACAGCGGCTATGATAGGCTGCCAAGAGGAAGGAGGTGAAGAACCTGATGCCTGCTGGTGGAGTGGGGGCATGACACAGGAAGTGAAGGCCTCACCATGAGCACAGGGGAGTACCCTCAGCTTGTCCCCATCCTCATACTCATCTAGGCAAATGGCACAGACATCATACTGGTCCCCTGGGGAGGAAAAAAGGAGTCCTTATACTGAGCCACTCTGGACCAGGCCCCCAAGGACTCACCCTGAGAGGCCTGTGGTCAAGCTAAACCTTGCAAAATTTATTTTTCCTGGTTCTACAGAGCTGTGGAAAAGCTAAGAGTGGGCCTGGCAGGGTAAAGCCAGGATAGAACATGAATTTGGGGTTAGAAGGACAAGCAGAGAAGCAGAGGTAAGAAAGGAAGTGGGTTTTTTGGGGGGAGGTGTGAGGGTGGAAAGTGGGAGGAGCGGAAACGGGGCAGGACTTCTATTATTGCCTTATATGGGCACTGGAGGCTCCAGGCCCAAGACCCAGCTTCTCCACACCTGTTTCTTCTCAGATGGAATCCCCCCACCCCCAACCCCACCCCGACTCTTTCCATTTTTCTGTTCTCTCCATCTTCTCCCTTATAAGCAAGGTTGGTCCTCTATCCTTTTCCCCAGCTACTCCATTTAATCATCTTTGCTTTCTACCTTCTATTCTGTTCCTGTCCTGTCCTGATTGTATGGGTAAAAAGAGGAAAAGTGGCATCTCAGGCTGACATCTCCCTGTCATCTTTCTTTGCCCCTTAGTTTCTGGGCTCAAACTCCTTCAGAACCAGGTAAGTTATGAGAAAGGCCTTCCGGCGCCCCTATTTCCTTCACCCTTCTGATAGTCATGTGTAGGAATCTGTTTCAGTTGCTCTTTGGTCAGTCGATTCCGCTGGAGCCGTTTCCGGTGCTGGATACAACGAACTATCTGAGGAAAGGGTGAGTGGATGGTCAGCTTTAGGGAACAAAACTGGATAATCCAGTACAAACCATCCCCATCTCAATCCCACATCCTGTCTGGCTTTAAAGGCCTCAGCTCTTCCCACCATGCTTCCTGAGCTACTACTCACCATCACTGCTCCCATGGCCAAAACCAGCAGTCCCACAATCCCTGTGAAAGGGATGAGGTAATATCCCAAGGGGAAGCTATTGTCTGGTACCAGAAGCACCCGAGCCCTGTGAAAAAGAACACCAGTATCAGAGGGACAGGAAAAGCAAAGGGACAAAAGAAGAGTGACAAAGTAACTGGTTCTTGACAAGGCCTATGGATGGGGAAGGGAACCGAAAGAAAGTAAAGAGACTGAATAGGAAGGGCCTAAGGCTTGGGCTTCAGGTTGGCATAGAACTACTGAAAGAAGAGTGAGGACGGACACATCCTACCCCTTCTCGTAGACAAAGAGGGCACGCAGGTACTCGGAGCTCCTCTCCCCAATAAACACAGACGGGATCCAGATCTGCTGCTGGATTTCCTCTGCAGGGATCAGGGCATTACAATGGGGATCCAACTCTCCACTCCAATCCTTTGGTAACCCTGGCATTTGGCTCTTTTGCTTCATCCCACCCTAAGCCTTCAGCCCTCCACCATCTCTGTGTGAGCTCTACTGAAAACCCAGCTGTTCAGATCTCCCAACCTTACCACTATTCCACACCATGTTCAGAAGTTCATTGGAATTCACATTGTGTACCACAGCTGCACCATACCCAGCCTTCTGAGCATTTAGGACCTAGGGAGACGAGGCAGGGGATAAGGAACCATTATGGACCTTACCTACCTTCATTCCTGGTGTCTTTTATCACCCTCAGCTTCCCAGCTCCCACTCCATATTCAGCAACCTTGAGATCAAAGTTGCAGTCGAATCTTCGAAGCAGTGCAATAAAGACTGACCCGTTGACCGGGGCTGGGGGTGGTGGGGCAATGGGGCTGCAGGCATTGGCCGGATGAGCCTCCACGAGGAAGCCCTGGGGAAAAGAAGTAAACAGATTTCACCTTCCTAGGTTCTGCTCCCCACAAGGCCCACCAAGCACAATGGTCCCCACATACTGCATGTTCTGTATCCTTCACTTCCTTCTCATTCCTGGGGTCTGAGCATCCCACCTAAGTCAGAAGTATACCTATTCTCAGCCTCCTAAAGATGCCACTAGATCAAACAACATCCCTTTACCAGACCCTCCCATCATCCTCCCTGTCCCAGATTAGCTAACTTATACCCCATACTCCAAGTTAATTGAAATTGTTCTGCCTTCTAGTTTCCCACTGATTGTAAATCAGTTCTTCACTCATCCAAGTTACTTTCTCTCAAGTTCCATTTCACATTTCCTTCTCCAGAACATACTCCCCTGTATTAAAAAAGACAAGAGGCCTAAAATGGAGTCACTAGTGCTAAGCCGCATGTCACCAAACTGATATTTAACACCTGACTCAATTACAGTTTCAGCCTCCCCCAGGAATGGAATCTTATTTAAGGCAATCTGGAATTGTCTGGTCACTAGTGAGAGACAATCTGCTTGATAGACCCCTGCCTAAAGAAGGGTGACCTTGCCACAAACAATCAGCTTTTTGCAATTATAACTTTCTTGTCCTGCTCCCTTCTGCCTATAAAATCTTTCAGTTTGTATAGCTCTTTCTACCTGTACCTGGGATGCTGCCCAATTTGTGAATTGTTGGATGAAGCCAGTAAGATCTTTAAAACTTACTTGGTAGACACACAACTATACTGATTATCTGTGGCCCAGTTGAGTTCTTACTGTGTGGCAATCTTTGTGATGAAGTACTACAAAATTGCTTACCTAATTTAATCCTCACAATAACCCTAATAACTTCTGTTATCCTACATTACAGCAAAACAAAGGCTTAGAAAGATAATTAATTTAGTTCAAGATCATAAAACCAGAAACTGATTCCAGAGATACTGATAAGCACCACTTTGCCCTGCCTTTTATTTTGGTTCACTTTCAGTCTCCTTCACAATGCTCGGAGTTCTAGTAGATTATGCTTTCTCCCTCTAATCTGGATTCCACACTAGATGTGCTCATGCACTTAATTCCTAACTTGCTTTTTCTACCTCCAGCTTCATACAAGAGCAAGGCTCCTCAAAACCCTATCCAGGATGGAGGATTTAGGGAAACAGGAAAATGGGAAGAAAATCACCTGAAGTCCCTCCTGGCTCAAGGCAGCCCCAAAGAGAGCTGGGAGATCTGCAAAGTCCATGCTGGCATTGTGGTCCGAGGTCTGCAGACAAGAGAGTTCATGTTCCCCCTTCAGCCTCCAACCGCTCTCTTAGCTCCCGTCCCCCATCTGCCCCTCAAACTCACCGCTCGAATGAGCCCCTGGATGGGGACTGCTCCCCATAGCACAGTGGCCACAACCACAGGAAGCGGGAAGGCCGCAGGGTGCATGGCAGCGGGAGGGGAGTGGTTGAGGAGGCCGCGTTCTGGTAGCAGGAGCAGAAGGGGAGTTCTGCGCCCTCTCCGCCCCTCCAAGATCCTAGGGGTCCAACCACCCCCAGGTCCCACTTCCCAGCTACATGGAGGCGGGGGGAAGGAACCCGGACTCGGGGAGTGAAATATCGAACCCGTTTAGTGGAGCTAAGAGAAGTACTAAATGTATCCTTTTCTGATACAGGAATAAAACGGGCAAAGAAAACGGAGGTAAGCACAGGTGACAAACTTCTGGAAGGGTGGGGGAACTCAAGGAGGTGGGACTTCCGGCCAGGTGGGCAGCCTTCCCAGGCCCTGGAAAAGGGTTTCCGGAGAAAAAAGTCAGGCCGCTTCCAGCATTGGACGCTCAAGATGAAGGACTTCCGGTCCTAAAAGGCCGGTTAAAAGAAAAGGTTAGAATTGGAAGGAGTGCCTGAAGATGAAGGGAGCACCGAAGTCCCAGAAGACGACCTAGTCGCTTCCCTTTTACTGCCCGGTTCCTGGAGCTTCCCGCTTTACAAACCTTTCCTACCCCTGGCCGCCACCGCCGCGGTACCTTCAGGTCTCGCGAGAGTCCTCACCACACCCCTCCCACCAGCTGAAATCATGTATCTCTCGCGAGAGATCTCTGTCTAGCCTAGCATACTTGATCTCGCGAGATTTCAATCAACCTCTATTTTCCCGCGATTCCAATTCGGTACAAAGTACGCCTTTGCTCTGACTTCCTAAATTATCACACCCCTTCCCGCACCCATCTTTGAAGCTCTTCCTTCAGCTCCGCCTTACTTCCGGCCGCCTTTGCTCTGTGCGCCTGCGCCAGCTTTCAGCTGGTGCTGGGCCTGAGCCGGAGGAGCGTGTGCGCGCGCGCCCTCGTCCCGTTGCGCGCGCGGTGTCACCTTGGGCGCGAGCGGGGCCGTGCGCGCACGGGACCGAGTGCCGAGGGCCATTGAGTAGTGATGGCGGCGACGGCGAGCCCCGGGACCGGCGGGATGGACGGGAAGCCCCGTACATCCCCCAAGTCTATCAAGTTCTTGTTCGGGGGCCTGGCCGGGTAAGCTCAGGCCCCAGGGATGGGAAAAGAGGAGGAAGGGACGGGTGCAAAGAACCGGGCCCAGTTCATCTTGGGATCTATTGCAGTGAACCGAACCCGCACAGGTTCAGCGCCGTTCCCAGTGTTTTGCGAGATCCTTCACGGGATGCTAAGATCTTTTCATCTATTGCACAGCCCCTGTTGGGCTGCATGCAGGGTCATTGCATGGCTCATGCCGGGCCTCTTAAGTTTCCCAACCCATTGCTTGGCTTTGCCGGGCCTTATCGGGTTCCAGGTCATTACATGGCTCCTGACGGATTACGTGAAATCCCAGGTCATGAATGCCAACCTCCCCTCCTTGAGTCGGACGGTATGCAGTTCCAGATCACTGCTTGACCTCCTTGGAGCTGCATGGAGCACTTTCATTGTGTGGCCCCTACTGGACTTTTCAGATCCATTGCTTTTAGTACACGCAAAGACTTAATACACGTCTACCAGTCTATTTAACACTTAGTCAGTTGCATGGTAGTCCCTGCTCTTTGTGACCCCTTGTTGCCAGGCTCCAGTGGATTTTGGTAGATGTGAGACACCTGGCTCTTGACTCCAACCCCTGTCTTCCCCCAGGATGGGAGCTACAGTTTTTGTGCAGCCCCTAGACCTGGTGAAGAACCGAATGCAGCTGAGTGGAGAAGGAGCCAAGACACGAGAGTACAAAACCAGCTTCCATGCCCTGACCAGCATCCTGAAGGCAGAAGGGCTGAGGGGCATTTACACAGGGTATTGGGGCCATAGTATGGGGGTAGGGTGCAGGTTGGCAGCTCCAGATCTGGGCCGGATACACTGACCCCTTCACTCCCCAGGCTATCAGCTGGCCTGCTGCGCCAGGCCACCTACACCACCACTCGCCTTGGTATCTATACTGTGCTGTTTGAGCGCCTGACTGGAGCTGATGGTACACCTCCTGGCTTTCTGCTGAAGGCGCTGATTGGCATGACTGCAGGTGCAACTGGTGCCTTTGTGGGAACACCAGCTGAAGTGGCTCTTATCCGCATGACCGCTGATGGTCGGTGAGTTCCAGGTCTGAGCCTACCTCCAGATCCATTCCCTGGAACCTCAGATTAAGGACTACTTATCCTAGAGCTAGAGCAGAGCATTCTGTCCTCCCTTTCTTTGCTCCTGCGGGGAAGGATAGTTTGTCCTGAGCTTGGCCTCTCCCTACCTTACCACCAGACTTCCAGCTGACCAGCGCCGTGGCTACAAAAACGTGTTTAATGCCCTGATTCGAATCGCCCGGGAGGAGGGGGTCCCCACACTATGGAGGGTGAGTGAAATGACTGGCTACTTAGGGGATGAGGGGTCAGGTCTGGAGCATTTCTGACTCCCCCACTTCCTTCTCTACCCAGGGCTGCATCCCTACCATGGCTCGGGCTGTTGTTGTCAATGCTGCCCAACTTGCCTCCTACTCCCAATCCAAGCAGTTCTTACTGGACTCAGGTGAGACCCAGAGCTGGGCCCTCAGCTCCCAGCTTGGCCTGGGACGGCTCAGAGCTGACTGCCACCCCCTGCTCTGCCTCCCCAGGCTACTTCTCTGACAACATCCTGTGCCACTTCTGTGCCAGCATGATCAGTGGCCTGGTCACCACTGCTGCCTCCATGCCTGTGGACATTGTCAAGACTCGGTGAGTCTGCAGGCCTGGACCTGGAGAGGGATGAGAGGGCTTCATTTATGTCTTTCATACTGTGACCTTCTCTCCTTCAGGATTCAGAACATGCGAATGATTGATGGGAAGCCGGAATACAAAAATGGGCTGGTGAGGAAGCAGGGCTGGGGGCCTGGGCTGGAGGATTGGATTCCCTGGGAGGGTTGTGAAGGTACCTGGGTATGAGAGCCAGGGCCCGAGAGGCCAGGTCCTAGCTCCAGCGCCTTTGCCTGCCTGCCTGTCTAGGACGTGCTGGTGAAGGTCATCCGCTATGAGGGCTTCTTCAGCCTGTGGAAGGGCTTTACACCATACTATGCTCGCCTGGGTCCCCACACCGTCCTCACCTTCATCTTCTTGGAGCAGATGAACAAGGCCTACAAGCATCTTTTTCTCAGTGGCTGAAGCAGACGAGGGCCCTGGAGCCGGTGTGCTGGGGCTCCCACTCGCCTGCTGCTCCTACAGTCATCGTATCCCCGGAGGGGCCTGGACTGCTGCCCTTGGCCTCTCTATTTATTTTCCCTCCACAGTGTGGTTTCCCCCTCTGCGGTAAAGGATTTTGGTCTGTCCTACTCCTGCTCCAGCTTGCCCTGCTTGTTTTGATCCTCATGACCTCTCCATTCCTGGCTGTGCCTTGGGGGGAGCTGAGAAACTCCTTGAGGATTTCCAGCCTCCTCTTGGGTGTTAGTTTCAGGGCACATAGGACAGCAGAAGATCCCCCTTCTCAGTAGGGAAACTAAGGCAGAGCTGAGGGGACTGGATAGAGCAGAAACGGTCAAGTTGGTGAAAGGGTATGCAGTGGGAGGATGTGGCCCTCCCTCCTTCCACCTCAATAAATTGGATTGATGACACCACCCCCAAATCTGGAGAGTTCTGGGGGCTGGTGCGGGGGGAGACTGAACAAAGAAGTGGGTGCTCTTAGAGAACAGGAATTGGAGTTTTTAAGAAAAATTTATTAAAGAAAAAGCACCTACTGGTTTTATGCAAATACTATGTAAATCAGCCTTGTTGCAGCAGCTGACGGGGTGAAGAAAACCAAAATCCGGGCCCTGTGTCTTGCTTCCCAGCCACTTGCCTGAGAACAGACAGACGTACAAGTTAGCACAAGTCATCTCACTGTAATCTCCAGGAAAAGTCTCCGGGGTCTGGTGACTGTTTCTGTGGCAGAGAAGGAGGGATAAAGAGTATGAAAGGGAAGGCCAACCTGTGGATGGTGGAGGGGCAGAGCTTGAGGGAGTGAGCACAGGATCCTGGCTCCCAACGCCTGGAGGCTTGAGGAAACTGGAGGGTATTGGCCAGAAACATGATCTGGACCCTAGGCTGGGGAGAGTAGCTGCCTTATCCAAATCTTTAGAAAGAGACCTTCCCAGGCCCTACCCTCAGGGAGCCTAAGAACTTCTTGGGGCATAAAAGGGCATGGGAAGGTCAATTAGAAGGAGGGTTAAGCAGTGTGAGGCCCGAAGCCCTCTGAGCCAGGCCAGGGGACAGGCAGGCGGCAGGTGGGAGCTGTCCCCTTGGCAGAGCATCGTCAATAGAAGAGGTGGAGCTCAGCAACCTGGCATCCCTGCTGGGCCCTCCCACCTCTGCCTCTCTCCTTAACCACTCCGTGTACATGCTGGTCTGGGCCACAGTGGCCACTTTGAAACAAGGCCTGAACCTTGTACTTACGGAGTTACAAGTGCAGGAGGAAAGATGACACAGGAGCAGTTGGAGAGCTGGGAGTATAGCAATAAACAGTTTCTGGGTAACTTGAAGTGCCTGGCCCAGCGTGAGGGAGGAGAAACCTGTGTACAGTAGCAGACTGGCTGGAGAAGTGGGATGGGGCAGCCCTCCTGGCTGAAGGAGAAAGCCTGGGGAGCAGGTGATCTATGTGCAGTTTGCAATAGCTGGAGCACAGGTTGTAAAATGTTAGAGAAAAAGCTGGACTGTTCGATGGGTCAGTGCACAGGAATAGATTGCCAAGCTCAAGAGTTTGTCTATCTGGGGAAGGGTTCAAAACAGGAGAGATGCATTCAGGTTTTCAAGTTAGGAAGATTCCTCTATTACCATCTGGAGGAGGGGGAATCTATGGAAGACTCAGTCTTCACTCATTCAGGGCCTCAGGCCTCAGTGTGAGAAACAGGGCAGGAGAGAAGGCCCCGTCAAATGTGGTAAGGGGAATGGCAGAATCTGTGGCACCAGAAGAGAAAAGTAGGTTCCGTTTACCTGCATCTTAGCTTGAGAACCAGAAACGGAGACTATTCAGTAAGACCCACCAACACAGTGCACACCCTGCCCCTGTCCCACTCACCTAGGGAGAGCAGGAGAGCCACATTTCTGAGGCCGCAGGTTTGGGCGATCACCCACCTTTGTTCCTAGTATTGTGGGTCACAGGCAGTTATGCCTCAGCAGTGTCACTAAACAGATCTTGAGCTGAAACTGGTGCTTGGGGTGTCCTGCAGGGTAGTAACCCCTGGAGGAGAGAAGTAGGTACCCAAGGCAGGGGAAGTACAGGCTAAGACTAGAGCTTTTTTGGATGAGTAGAGCACCTAGGGTCAGGGCAGTTGGGGCCTTGAAAATGCTAGTGACAGGTGCCCCAGTCACTCTCTCTCCAAAAGAATCTAATTTTTCTTTTTGAAGTTTTTTTATTATACAAACAATATGTAATAGTAGGAAACTAAAAAATGCTAAGCAGAGTAAAGGAAAACCATATTTACATCACCCAGAGACAATCAGGGCTCACATCTTGATAAATCTCTACAAATTTTCAGTACACAGATAAATGTGCGGACCAAGCTCTAATCTGTTTATTTGCTTTTTCCTAAAACTTCCCAGAAGTGGTAGTAACCTAATGGTCTGAGAACACTGCCCTGCCCCCCAAACCCATGTAGATTGGGAGCTTTATTCTGTGACCCACACAACTCCATTCCACTACCCATCGTGGTTTTCTAGGTCTGAGGTTGTATTCTAGTGTTGTGAAGAGAAGGCTTCTAATAAAGGAAAAGTAATTAAGACCTCCCCTTGACCCTGTGCTTACCCACCCACCCCCAGCTAGATCCCAATAGGAAAACCCATCAGAGCCTCTCAAGGTCCCCAAACCACCTACGCTTAAAGACTGTGGCCAGAGTACCTAATGCCCACTGTACCCAGCAGGTCTTGACCACGACCCAGACTCAGGGCTGAGGGCCACCGTCTTGCCACTAGAGGCCCCACACGGCCATTGGAACGGACCCACAAGAAGAGGCTGGAGCGAAAAGTTGGGAGTGACCCTCGAAGGAAAAGCAGCCAGGCCCGGGGCACCGTCACTTGCCTTCCTCTCTGCAGCTCCAGATGTGTGGTATGCATGACTGTGGCCAAGGCAACAGACTGGCTGAAGTCTAGGGCCTGTGGTTTCATGTGCCAGACCCAGATCAGGAGCAAGATGAGAACCACACAGGCAAACAGGAGCCAGAGGAGACCCAAGATGTAGAAACCCAGGGAGAAGAGGCAGCAAAAGTTAGGGTTAAGAAAAGGGTCGTTTCTGGAGCTATACACATTCCCTTGAGCCACCCCACGAACCTTCAGGATGTCGACAAACTCAGAGATGATTGTTGTGGTTTCTAAGATAGTAGGGAGTAAGGTAGGTTCTGTGGTAGTTAAGAAAATGGTTGGTTCTGAGGTGGTCTGGGTTGTGGGCTTTGAAGTGGTCTGAGTTGTGGTGGGTTCTGGGGTTGTGGGTTCTGGAGTGGTTGGGGTTGTGGGTTCTGAGGTAGTTGTGATGGATTCTGAGGTTGTGGGAGTTGTGATGGATTCTGAGGTTGTGGGTTTTAAGGTCATTAGGGTTGTAGGTTCTGAGGTTGTGGGTTCTGAGGTGGTCAGAGTTGTGGATTCTGGAGTTGTGGGTTCTGAGGGCGGGGTTGTGGGTTCTGAGGTGGTCGGGGTTGTGGTGGGTTCTGAGGTTGTGGGTTCTGAGGTGGTCAGAGTTGTGGATTCTGGAGTTGTAGGTTCTGAGGGCGGGGTTGTGGGTTCTGAGGTGGTCGGGGTTGTGGTGGGTTCTGAGGTTGTGGGTTCTGAGGTGGTCAGAGTTGTGGATTCTGGAGTTGTAGGTTCTGAGGGCGGGGTTGTGGGTTCTGAGGTGGTCGGGGTTGTGGTGGGTTCTGAGGTTGTGGGTTCTGAGGTGGTCAGAGTTGTGGATTCTGGAGTTGTAGGTTCTGAGGGCGGGGTTGTGGGTTCTGAGGTGGTCGGGGTTGTGGTGGGTTCTGAGGTTGTGGGTTCTGAGGTGGTCAGAGTTGTGGATTCTGGAGTTGTAGGTTCTGAGGGCGGGGTTGTGGGTTCTGAGGTGGTCGGGGTTGTGGTGGGTTCTGAGGTTGTGGGTTCTGAGGTGGTCAGAGTTGTGGATTCTGGAGTTGTAGGTTCTGAGGGCGGGGTTGTGGGTTCTGAGGTGGTCGGGGTTGTGGTGGGTTCTGAGGTTGTGGGTTCTGAGGTGGTCAGAGTTGTGGATTCTGGAGTTGTAGGTTCTGAGGGCGGGGTTGTGGGTTCTGAGGTGGTCGGGGTTGTGGTGGGTTCTGAGGTTGTGGGTTCTGAGGTGGTCAGAGTTGTGGATTCTGGAGTTGTAGGTTCTGAGGGCGGGGTTGTGGGTTCTGAGGTGGTCGGGGTTGTGGTGGGTTCTGAGGTTGTGGGTTCTGAGGTGGTCAGAGTTGTGGATTCTGGAGTTGTAGGTTCTGAGGGCGGGGTTGTGGGTTCTGAGGTGGTCGGGGTTGTGGTGGGTTCTGAGGTTGTGGGTTCTGAGGTGGTCAGAGTTGTGGATTCTGGAGTTGTAGGTTCTGAGGGCGGGGTTGTGGGTTCTGAGGTGGTCGGGGTTGTGGTGGGTTCTGAGGTTGTGGGTTCTGAGGTGGTCAGAGTTGTGGATTCTGGAGTTGTAGGTTCTGAGGGCGGGGTTGTGGGTTCTGAGGTGGTCGGGGTTGTGGTGGGTTCTGAGGTTGTGGGTTCTGAGGTGGTCAGAGTTGTGGATTCTGGAGTTGTAGGTTCTGAGGGCGGGGTTGTGGGTTCTGAGGTGGTCGGGGTTGTGGTGGGTTCTGAGGTTGTGGGTTCTGAGGTGGTCAGAGTTGTGGATTCTGGAGTTGTAGGTTCTGAGGGCGGGGTTGTGGGTTCTGAGGTGGTCGGGGTTGTGGTGGGTTCTGAGGTTGTGGGTTCTGAGGTGGTCAGAGTTGTGGATTCTGGAGTTGTAGGTTCTGAGGGCGGGGTTGTGGGTTCTGAGGTGGTCGGGGTTGTGGTGGGTTCTGAGGTTGTGGGTTCTGAGGTGGTCAGAGTTGTGGATTCTGGAGTTGTAGGTTCTGAGGGCGGGGTTGTGGGTTCTGAGGTGGTCGGGGTTGTGGTGGGTTCTGAGGTTGTGGGTTCTGAGGTGGTCAGAGTTGTGGATTCTGGAGTTGTAGGTTCTGAGGGCGGGGTTGTGGGTTCTGAGGTGGTCGGGGTTGTGGTGGGTTCTGAGGTTGTGGGTTCTGAGGTGGTCAGAGTTGTGGATTCTGGAGTTGTAGGTTCTGAGGGCGGGGTTGTGGGTTCTGAGGTGGTCGGGGTTGTGGTGGGTTCTGGAGTTATGGGTTCTGAGGTGGTCAGGGTTGTGGGTTTTGGGGTTTTAGGTTCTGAGATGGTCCAGTTTGTGGGTTCTGGAGTGGTCAGGGTTGAGGGTTCTGGGGTGATCCGGGTTGTGGTGGATTCAGTAGTGGGTTTTTGAGTCGTGTAGAATGTAGATTCTGTGGAGGTTGGGGATGTGGTCTGTTTCTTAGTGGACTCTTGGGTTGGAAGCAAGTAGGGCATTTGGTTGTCTACAGAAACAGTAAATTCTTCATAGTGTAAGGCCCAGTGGGTTGTATGGGCTTTGGTGTTGGTAGAGAACCTGACCACAGTCCTTGTAGCAGGCACCTTATCACCCTTATGGTTCTCTTCTTCATAATTATCATAGTCGCCTGGGTCATCCCCATGACTGAGGGGGGAGCAGCCCTCCCCTGAGTAGGCAAAGACGGATGTGTCAGGTATATTGACGCATTGAACACTCTCCACTTTGGGGGTCATGGCCTTGACGTCCACACCCTTCTTCCATATGTAGACATTGTTGGCATTGTCCTGCAGCCAGTGACTGAAATAGAGGAGGTTGCAGTCACAGAACCAGGGGTTGTTGTGGAGAAAAACAAAAGGCAGGAGGAGGTCCCCAAAGAAGCCCTTTGGTATTGTTTTCAGCCAGTTCCCTTGGAGGTAGAGGGTGTCTAGCTCCTCCAACCCATCCAGGAACCCAAGGGGAAGGTCCTCCAACTTATTGTCAGCCAGATTAAGCTTCCTCAGTCGGGTTGTTGGTGCCAGGAGCTGGCGAGGCAGAGTCTTCAGCTTATTGCCACACAGGTAGAGCTCATGGAGTTGGCTCAGGCCATCCAGGGCATTAGGAGACAATGAGTCCAGCTTGTTGAAGGAGACATCCAGGGTAACGAGTGCTGGCAATGCCTGTCCTAGCAAGGGCAGGCTTTTCAAATTATTATGAGGCATTTCCAGGGTCTCCAGCAATGGCAGCTTCCCATCAGCCTGCAGGTTGGTCAGCTTGCTGTCACCCAGGTGCAGCTGAATGAGGTGAGTCAGACGCACCAGGGGCGCTGTGGAAAAAGTGCCCAAGGAGTTCTTACTCAGGCGGAGGATGTTTGTGTCTGCTGGTAAGTCTGGAGGCAGCGCCTTCAGTCCCAGATTATCACAGTTCACTTCCACCTGGCTGGCCACTTTGGTGACCTCACAGGTGGACTGGAGGTGTGAAGGGCCTGGCAGGAGGAGCAGCAAGAGGAGGAGAGGCATGGGGACCTGTGGGCAAGGGGAGCTTGAGTGGATTCCCAACTGGCCCCCAGCACATTCCCCCTGGCTCTAGCCCTCACCGAAGCCTCCAGGATCTTTTCCAGAAACTCGGCTCCCCCACCTCCCATCCTCTCCACTCCCCTCTCCTACCCTTGCCCCCCAAAGCCTAAACTGCTAGCTCAAGGTCCTTAGCTCTTATCCCTCCTTCAGAACCCTTCTTCCCCTAACCCCAACCCCAGCTTACGGGTAGGCAGAAAAACCTCCGAGGGCACAGAACTTCTTCCAGGGTGTGACTCGGTCCTTCTTTCTTCCAACTCCACGGAGGGCCTGGTCAGAGGCAGGAAGGGGATGGGGATGGGGAGGAAATGGCACCCTGATAGGGATTCCTGTGACCCAGTGAACAGTCTCCCTCCCGGACACTGGCCCTTATCATCCCTTTCCACAACTTTCCCCCAAGGCCTCCTTTGGGCTCTACTTTCTCCCACTTTCTTTCTATACTAGGGAAATTGGGAGTGGACTCCTACAACCACCAGCTTCATCCAGCTTTTAGGAATCTTCCGGCTGTCATTCTCACTTCCCCTTCACAGTGACATTCTTAGAGTTGCCTAATTTTAACCCTCACCTCCCTCTGCCTTCTCACCTGACTTTAGGCTGGTTTCTTACCCACAACCCTCCATTGGTTCAATTCTTGCCAAGGTCACCAGTGCCTCTCACCCCTCTATGTCCACTGGACACTTTTCTATTATGATCTTGTTTTCTGCAGCCTGCTCACATGTGGCCACACCCACCTTGGGACTCATGACACTAATTTCCTGGTTTTCCTCTTACATCTCTGGCTGGCCCTTCTCAATTTTCTTTGTGGATTCCTCTTCCTCTACCCTTCATGAAAATTAACCTGCCCCCAGATTTTGGTTCTTTGGCCTTCTTCTTTTCTTATGCTACATAAACACCTGAGATTATCTTCATCTATTTTCTTGTTTTCAATCATCATCCATACTCTATTGACTCAAATCTTTAGCTCTGACCCTTCCTGAGACCCAAACACATGTGCTTCACTGACTTTTGGATGTCCCAAAAGCACTAAAATATGTTCATAACTGAGCTCATTGTCTCTCTTCCAAGTAGCTTACTTACTCTCCTGTGTTGCCCAACAACCTGGTGAATGATACCATCATCTAGTCATTAATCTAGCCATTCAGTCAATACAAACAAAATCCCTGACAGATATCCTTAACTCCTCCTTCCCTAATCCCCACATCAAACCTGTCACCAATTCCCACTGATTTTACCTCCTAATCTCTCTCATATGCACTCCTTTCCATTCCCACTACCACCATTCCTAGTCCAGGCTGCCACCTTCTCTCTACTGCTTCACTCTACTACTTCTCATCTTGTTTCCCAGCTTTCTGACTTCCTTTCTTCCCATTCCCCACTGGAGTGGTCTTTCAGAACTTCAGATTTGCTTAAATTCTTCTACTGCTTGAGTCTATGGCCATGCCACCCTGAATGTGCCTGATCTCGTCTGATCTCAGAAGCTAAACAGGGTGGGGCCTGGTTAGTACTTGGATGGGAGACCACCTAGGAAGATCAGGTGCTGTAAGCATTTAAAAAAGTAATAATAATAATAAATAAGTAAATTTTTCTACTGCTTGAAATGCATCAGTGCCTCTTTATAGCCCTCAGGAGGAAGTCTAAGATCCTAATATGGCCTTTAGAGTCCTGTGTGATCTGACCTTTGCCTACCTGTCCAGCCCCATCTCTTAACACTCCACCCTTCACTCTAGATCATTCTTTCTTGTGCCTGGACTCTCTTCTTATCCCTTATCCCCTTCTGCATAACTCTTACTTATTTAGAAATTTCCAGTACAGAATTTCTTTCTCTAGAAAGCCTTTTAGGATTTCCTAACACCAGGTTAGGTGCTTGTTTCAGAGATTCAGCCACCACATCTGTTGGTCCACTGTCCCTTCTAGTGATGAAAATCTGCCTCCTACTGACCCCCAGAAAGGGCACCATGCAACCACATAAGCTGCCTGGCTCTATCTGCTCACTACTGGTGACTGGACAAGGGTGGACACTTGAGTCAGATGCAATTAATCCGTAGACTTGCCATTTATATAATTTTCCAGCTGCAAAAGTAATTGAAAAGGTGGAAAAAGTGAGGTAGCAAGTAGCAGGAAATAAGGTGGAAAGTTGTATGGAGAGAGGCCATGATATGGAATAAGGCCACTGAAGCTGTTAATATTTTGCTGCATTGGTATCAGGGTTTTTAGTTGTAAGAAACAGAAAGTGTTCTGGCTAATATAGGCTGAAAAGGAATTTATTAAAAACACATTGGTTACTTCACAGACTTGTAAGTGATGGCTAGACAACCAGACTTAGAACTACATAGCTAGGACTAGTGCCCAAAGCCAAGCTGCAGAACCTGTCTGGTGAGCTAAACTCTGCTGTAAGAGCAGGTCACTGAAGCTTGCACCACTCCAGCTGCTGAGCCAGGAACTCAGTATTATTGCAAACTCCCTACTGCAGAGTGAGAATGCTGCACCACCCCCACTCCTTTGTGATACTAGCTCCTGATTCAAAGTCTAGGTGTGAGTCTGATTGGTCCTGTGCCTATGACCCAGCTGCAAAGGAATCCAGGTAAGCAAATGTCTGCTATTTTCAGCTTCTGTAATAAGAGCCAAATTGTTCTTCTCCAAAGATTCATAAGTTGAAGGATTCTGTAGACATAGGAAAGAGATTCATATGCTTGAGTACCTACTGAAATGATCCTATGTTTTTTTCCTTCACATGTCAATGTCCTGAATTTTTTCTAATTTTGCATCATTGAATGTTTGGGATGAACCCTACTTGGCCTTTATGAATTAGTCTTTTAATATAATTCTAGGTTGGTTTGCTCACATTTTACTTAGTTAGAAATAATATTTTCTAAGTTAGAAAATAGGAGTGGCCTGGGTAATGTCAGCATCATGGCTGGGTAAGTGACTTCATTGTTTCTCCACTTAAACTTACAAGTCAAACAACTATAATTCAATAAAGGATCCCTTGCTCAATACACAAACACACCTGAAAGGTCCATGTATCAGAATATCTAAAGGGTGGTATATTGGAATGAGTAGGGGAAGTGGAGTGAGTAGGGGAAGTGGAACGAGTAGGGATGGTAGCTCCTGATACAGCACCCACAGTGACAGTGACAGCAGAGGAAAAGTCAGGCTACAGCCCTCACACTGTGGCCTGCCATGTAAGAGGGGCAGAAACAATTTCTCTCCAGAAAAATTTCCTTTGCCCTCTCCCCATGGTGGCAGAGCCAGGTAGAGGTGGCTAGAAAGTTTAAAATAACACAGTGGTGCTGATAAGCATACTGGAAGGGGATGCAGAGCCGTGAGGTTGCAAACTTACATCTCATGCCCACACTCCTCAGCAGAGCCTGATAAAGGAAACTGAGATGTCCCAAGCAGCATAGCAAAAAGAAAGTACCCTAACTATCAACCTGCTGAATTGTTGAGAACAAAACAGTATCTAAACAAGAAAAGAGTTCATTACCTAAAATATGCAGTCAGAAAAATAATCCATCAAATACCATAAACAACCAAAGTAACTTGGGAGCACAAAAAGGAAATGAAAAGTTTCCAGAAACCAAACTCAAACTCATGGAAGATGATGATTTAAATGACAGAGAATTCAAGATTGCAATTATGAAGAAACTCAATGAAATACAGGAAAATAAAGAAAAGCAGTTCAATAAGCTCAAGAATAAAATCAAATAAAAGGAGTACCTTACCAAAAAGATTGAAACTATAAAAAAGAACCAAAAAGAAACTCTGAAGCTGAAGAACTCAATAAAGGAGATGACTCCACTAGAAAGTAATGAAAATAGACCAGACCAGATGGAAGAAAGAATTAGCAAGCTTTAAGTTAGAAACTTAGAAGTCTACGGCCATGCTACCCTGAACAAACCCAATCCTGTCTGATCTTGGAAGCTAAGCAGGGCCAGGCCTGGTTAGTACTTGGATGGGAGACCACCTAGCAAGACCAGGTGCTGTAGGAGTAAAAACAAACAAACAAACAAACAAATAAATAAGTGATTGTAAGCTGACAAGGTCCTTGCAATCTGTGAGGTCAACCAAGGGTTGCCTCACCTAAAAAATAAAAATAAAAAAATAAAAGAGTAAACAAAGGAAAAATAATAGAAAAACCCCAAACCAAAATAGCAGACAGATCACAAGGGAAAAAAACAATGGAGATAAAGAGCGACCAGGAAACAAAAGGTAAAATGGCTGTATTAAGTCCCCATATGTCAATAATCACCCTAAATGCAAATGTACTGAACTCACCAATCGGAATGCACAGAGTAGTGGGGTGGATTAAAAAACAAAACCAAACTATATATTGCCTGCAGGAGATTAATCTCGGCTCCAAAGACAAACATAGGCTCTAGGTGAAGGAGCGGAAGATGATATCTCAAGCAAATGACATCCAGAGAAAAGCAGGCATAGTAGTAATTATATCAGACAAAATTGATTTTAAGATAAAAAAGGTAACAAGAGACAAAGGTGGACATTTCATAATAATAAAGAGGACAACTCATCAAGCTGACATAGCAGTTATCAACATATATGCACTCAAACTGAGAGCACTAAAATATATAAAGTAATTACTAACAGAAGTAAAGAGAGAAAAAGACAAAAATATAAATATAGTAGGAGACCTGAATACCCCATTGACAGCAATGGATAGATTATCCAGACAGAAAGTCAATTAAATATTGGCCTTAAATGACACATTAGATAAAATGGACTTAATTGATATTGATAGAGCTTTCAATCTCAAAACTATAGAATACACATTCTTCTCAAGTGCACATGGAACATTCTCAATGATAAACCATATGTTGGGGCACAAAACTAGTCTTTATAAATTTAAGAAGATTGAAATCATACCAAACATTTTCTGACCACATTGTTATGAAACTGGAAATTAAGAAGAAAGTCGAACGCCTCGAATATGTGAAGATTAAACAACATGCTAATGAAAAACTATTGGGTCAAAGAAGAAATAAAAGACCTAAAAATACATAAAGACAAATGAATATGAAAATATGACATACCAACATTTTTGGGGTGTAGCAAAAACAGTAGTAAGAGGTAAGTTTATAGCATTAAGGCCTACCTCAAGAATCAAGAAAGATCTCAAACTATCTAACATCGCACCTACAAGAACTAGAAAAGAAGAACAAAAAAAACCCCTCAAAGTTAGCAGAAGTAAGAAAATAATAAAAATCAAAGTAGAAATAAATGAAAGAACAAAAAGACAATAGAAAAAAATGAAACAAAGAGCTGGTTCTTTGAAAAGAAAAACAAAATTGACAAATCTCTGACTAGACTCACTAAAGAAAAAGAGCAAAGACACATAAATAAGAAATGAAAGAGGAAAAGTTACAGCAGATACCACAGAAATACATAGGATTGTACAAGAATATTATAAGGCCATACACCACCAGATTTGATAACCTAGAAGAAATGGACAAATTCTTAGATATATACAATCTACCTAGACTAAACCATGAAGAATTAGAAAACCTAAATAGACCAATCACTAGTAAGGAAATTGAAACAATAATTAAAAATCTCTCAAAAAGCAAAAGTCCAGAAATAGAGATTTCAGTGGTGAATTCTACCAAATAGTCAAAGAAGACAATACCAATCCCTTTCAATCTATTCCAAAAAAACTGAAGAGGAAGGAATACTTCTTAACTCATTTTATGAGGCCAAATTTACCCTGATATCAAAACCAGGTAAAGACAACACAAACACACACACAAATTGTAGGCCAATATCTCTGATGAACATAGATGCAAAAATCCTAAATAAAATACTAGCAAATCCAGTACAACAATATGTTAAAAGGATCATACATACATCATGATTAAGTGGGGTTCATTTTATGATACAAGGATGGTTCAACATCCACAAGTCAATCCATGTGATATGGCACATTAACAAAATAGAAGGTAAAAATTATAAGGTAATATCAATAGATGCAGAAAAAGCATTTGACAAGATACAAAATCCATTTATGATAAAAACACTCAATAAAATGAGTATGGAAGTTAAGTAACTTAACATAATAAATGACATATATGGCAAACCCTCAGCTAACATCATATACTCAATGGTGAAAAACTGAAAGCTTTTCCTCTAAGATCAGGAACAAGACAAGAATGCCCACTCTCACCACTGTTATTCAACATAGTAACTGGAAGTCCTAGCCAGAAAAATTAGACAAGAAAAAGAAATAAAAAGCATCCAAATTGTGAATGAAGTAAAACTGTTGCTACTTGCAGATGACACAATTCTATATATAGAAAACTGTAAAGACTCCACCAAAAAACTATAACAAACAATAAACATACAGTAAAGTTGCAGAATACAAGATCAATATACAAAAATCCATTGCATTCCTGTATACCAACAATGAAACATCAGA